TTTTGTGATAATTTCAATGTGATTTGATTTTTACATTATATATTTTTTACGACAATATTAATAATATGCATTTTTTTCGCTTATATCAAGGATTGAAAATGGAAAGCATATTATGTATTTTTTTTACTTTAAGGTTTAACAATAAATCAACTTTTTCTATCTTGTGTCGTTGTCTTTGATCCATTCAATGTAGATCTGTATGCTGCGCGGTAATAGATTAATGGTGCTTTTGTGTGTGCTTGGGGATAATAAGTATTTGTATATATATTTAAGGACGATGTACCAGAGTGTGAGTGTGCTGAACGGCTTTATGGGGCGAGGTAGGCACGTGCAAATGTGGCAAGCCTCGCCAACTGGTCAGGAGCCGTACTGTACCCATCACACCGAGGAATAGGGCTGTAAACGACTGTGAGTAATATGAACACCATTTCTGCACGAATCTAGTGTAGGAAATATTGTATAAATGCTATGGAAATGAAGCTCATGCAACTTTGGACTCTTTTCTGAGGGTGAACTTTTATGAACAGCATCTTTGATACACATGCAAAGGGGAAGGACAAACCTTAACTGTGACAGGGAGGAATGAACGTCTCAAAGTAGGCCTTCTTCGTGGGAGCGCAGGACGGTCACAAGGTTATGATGGTGATCCGGGGTGACCCCCCGCAAGCTGAGTGTGGCCAAAATGCGCCGCTGCCTGAAGGCGTGCGACATGGGCGGGGGTTGTATCCTGGCGTGCCGCGGCAACCCCCTGCTGGACGACATGCTTGTTGAGGAGGTTGGTCTCAAAAACGATGGACTACTGCACCTTGTGATCCCGCTGGGTTGGCGCCTGCCTCAGCGGATAAAGGTCCTTGTGGCCCCAAGTGTATCCCTGCCGATGGCACGTCCGCAGAGGAACTGTGCGGTAGCGCAGTGCACTTTCGGTGCGCAGGAGTGCCTGAGGCCTGCGGGATGACGAGGGACAGGCGTGGCAGCCTCGTGCTGAGGGAGCGCCGCCGGAGAAGGGGTTGCGCCCGTCAAGCGAGGCGCTTGCTCCACAACTGGCGCAGGGTGATCTGGGCCACGGCGACGCGAGCGCCCGGGCACTGCAGAGCGCACACGATAACGTTGCCTGCCTGGCCGAACACCCGTGGGTGGCCCTGGGCCTCGACCGCAATCTCACCTACGTCGTGTGCAATGACGCGGAGTACAGCATCCCCGTGACCTTCACCCCCTGACGAGGCGTATGTACGTGTACTCGAGCGTGCTAACGGCGATCCCTGTGGACCGCGCGGTGCGCACGAAGCTGTATGAGGTCCTGCTGGAGGGCAGCCTCCTCAGCCGTGAGGTGTGTGGGGATGGCCTCGGTGTGCTGTTCATGTGGATCCTCTCACGGCCCACTGTGACTGCGGGACGTTGAAGGAGGCGGTCCCGACCTTCGTGGAGGTCCTGAGGTGGTGACGCTCCCTGGTGGGGGGGGTTGTTGGGCTAGCCACTTCAGTGCGTGTGC